CCGGAGCCCAACAGATCGAGTCTGCGGTGGCCGGGAGTGGCCACTGCACTCCAGTCTGGGTGACAGAGTGAGACTCCAACTCAAAAAAAAATAATAATAAAATTAAATTAAATTTAGTTTAATTTAAAAATAAATTCTTTTTGGAAAAGTCTTATTTCTAGGCATATCATTTCTTGGAAGAGACCAGGTCTTTGGACTGAAGTTACTTTATTATATAGCACTTTTTCTAGTTTTCAGTCTTTTATATAATTAACTTTCCTTTAAAGCTCATTTTAAAGTTTTCAGATGATTTGGGGATTTGTTGTGATGACGTCACTGACACTTGAACATGCTCCGGGCTTTAAAGGGAGTAATTGAGGAGCTCTGTTTGGGCTGTATGTCTCAACACCTGCGGCAGACTGCCTCTGTGCCCATCCTCAACTAGAGGGTGCTTTCCTTTGTTTCTGTGTCATCACATCTCCACATACAGTTCTCCCTTTTTGTGTTGTTCACATCTCCCATATTTATTTTGTTTCTATAAAGGAATCATTGCTTGCTCTTCTTCTTGCCTTCTACCCTCTATACTTGGCTTCTTTCATGGAAGGATAACATTTTGTTTGAAGAGTCTGCTATATTTTCTGGAGGACAATAGGAAGGCCTAGAGGAAATATATTCTGATGTTTGAAGAATCCTATTTTTGATTGGACGACTAGCCTGAAATTTAATCTGTTTCTTAAAGTTACCTTTGACTGTTGGTATGGTTGGGTAGGATAAGAATCCACTGTGGTTTAGGTTGAAAATTTCAAGTATCATATTTTCAATTCTGTATAGGGAAGTTGTGTAACACACTTTAAAACTCTATACCTAATATAAGACAGTAGTTTTCATTTTTTAACATAGGTAAGAATTACCTGGGGGAATTTATTAAAATGCGTAATTATAGGCCCCATTTTCAGGTATTCTGAATTATTCATTCTGGACTTGAATTATTCAAGAATTATTCATCCTGGAATTGTATTTTTACAATTTCTCAAGCAATTCTGATAAAAGTAATTAATGGAAATATACTTTGAGAAATGTGTCAGAGGGTTTGAAATGCCACCAAGAGATTTTTAAGTTGTTTCTTTGATTTTTTTTTTTTAACTTGTAGCAAGGAGAAATAAACAAATCACAGCTCAGCCTGGCAGTGGCAAATCATGATATCCCACCAGATGCTGTACGGGACAAGAAATTATGCAGACTCCCACCATTAGATACCAGTACCCTTGTGGGGGTCTTTGTGGAGTACATCATCTCTCCTAGTCAGTTCTACATCCGAATCTATAGCAGAGATTCATCAGAGTTACTCGAAGACATGATGATTGAAATGCGGTAGGAGTCTTGGTTTCGATGTATTTTTCACATATCACTTGAAGTCAGTGGTTCTCAAACATTTTGGTTTCAGGACTCTTAAAAATTAGGGACCCGGCCAGGCTTGGTGGCTCAACCTATAATCCCAGCACTTTGGGAGGCCGAGGCAAGTGGATTGCCTGAGCCCACGGGTTCGAGACCAGCCCAGGCAACTTTGTGAGACCTCGTCTCTACAATAAATAAGAATTAACCAGGCATGGTAGTGCGCACCTATAGTTCCGGCTACTTGGAAGGCTGAGGTGGAAGGATCACTGGAGCCCAGTAGGTCAACGCTGGGGTGGCCGTGAGCATGCCACTGCACTCCAGCCTGGGCGACAGAATAAGACTCCAACTCAAAAAAAAAAAAAGTAGGGACTCAAGAGAGCTTTTGTTTATTTATTGTATAGAAGCTAAGACTGCAAAACTTTAAAAAATATTTGTTGTCTAAAATGATAAATTCTTGTGTGTTAATATAAATAACATTTAAATTAAAGACTATATTTTTCTAAAATTTAGAAGAGTGGCATTAGTTACGTTTTTGCAGAGCGCTTTGATATCTGGTATAATAGAAAGTTGAATTTTTTTTTATATCAATATTTTTTATTATGAGAAAGTTGGATTTAATATTTGTGCCTGGCTTTAATTTGTTGACAATATGTTGTTTTGGTTGAAGTATGTGAAGACATCTGACCTCATACTGATAATTTTGGAAAAGGGGCATTTTAATAGCCTTTTCAGAAAACTGTGAATATCCTTTTTTGGTAATATGCCAAAATTTGACAAATGGTAGTTTCTTAAATATTAATGGCAATGTGAAATTTGAACTTTTTATATTCTCTTATGTTAAAATTAATTGGTCTACCTTTGTACTTTGAATGGATTTTGAAGGCTGGCTGTGTAATTATAAGCCTCAGTGCAAAATTTAAATGAAGGACTCCTTATTTTTAAATTGTCAAGAATTTCAAGACAGCAATAGCAGAGCATTAAAACGAGCATAGGGCTTTTTCTAAGCATGGACTCACATAAAACCTGCCCTGAATGGATCATATAATTTTATAACATTGTGTATGGGTCATTTGGAAAATTACTAGTACACAGGATTATGCAGATCTTTCAAATGTTGATACATTTCATTATGTAATATAAAAATCACATTCATTAATATAACCACTGATTTCATCAGAAAAGCATTAAGTACTGGGAAGCTGTAAGGCCCACAGATGTAGATACAACATTTCTAAAATCCTTTTACTTGAAAGTTTGAATTTTATCATTGCAGCATATACTGCCAGTTGTTTTTCTTGAAGTTACAACTTTTTATTTTTGAGAAAATGTGTCAGAGACCCAAGTCTGAAAAACGCAGTTTGCTAGTGGTTCTTTCAAGCTAAAATGGTGTACTATGAAGGAAAAAACTCTACTTTGTCTTCCAAGTATAAATCATGTTCCACAAAAAAGCAGCTAGTTTATTTCATAACTCCCATGCACAAGTGCTTTTCACTGTGATAATTTGGAAAATGCTTTATGTGTCCCTACTTCCATTTTTGTCATACAGTATATTGAAAAGATGGTTACGCAGTAGCTGAGATTTGATAAACCTAATAAATGTTCCTGCTTTACCAAGGACATTCTTAAGTGAAACTGGCTTATTTATTTTTAGCTTTTAAAATTTTTGATAGCTTGAGGGTATTTTGTCTGTACTTTTTTCTTTTTTAATGATAATGCATGGCAGTGATAGATAAATGACTACAAATAAGTGTTGCTGTACTGCTTTGATTTAACTAAGGCTAAATTAAATTTGTTCACTGTTGCTTTTACACTATTAATGCAAATACAGTAAAAAAGGCAAATAACATTTTGGTATTGTGAAAATAGTTTTGATCTTGTGGACTTCCTAAAAGGGTATCAGGGTGCTAGAGGTTTGTGGACTATACTTTGAGAACTGCTGCCTTATATTATTTCTTTTCTTTACTAAAAAGATGTCCTTTGTTATTAAACACATGTAAGCTGTGGACATTTTCAGTCACTTTAGACTTATTCAGTAACAGCAATGTCTGATTTTTATATTGGTGTCTCAGAAGAATAATTTATTTCATTACTTTGTATCTCCAAAAACATTCCATGTTTTTTAATTTACCGCATTTAAATACTCATCTACTACCCCAGAACACCTGGCATAATGTGTCATATAATAATTACTTAGTAAAATTACTGTAGTGTATTCCATTCCAGAATTCTGTACATGTTTTTTAAAGCACACTAACTGGCGCTGTGACCTTGGAGTTACTTTACTTCTCTGGAGCTGGACAGCTTATGTCCAAAGTGGAATAATAGTAGCACTTATATCACAAAGTTGTGATAATTAAAGTACTTAGAGCTTTTCTTACACTGTTGGCTGGTGTTATTACTAATACTATATTGTAAGCTTGGTGTTGGGTTGTTGAGGCACTGGCATACTACAAGGATGAATGAGTCATGGCCTTTGCCTTCGTGAACATCAGGATTAGCTGGGAAGATGGGGGAGTAAGTGGGATGTTGTAGAAGGGGGTGGTTCTGTCTAGCAGTGGTTTAATAAAACTTCACAAAGGAGATAATTGACATATACCTCCAAAACAAGTAAGAGTTTACCAATCAAGGAGGTGTGAGTGGGTGTATTTAGGTCCAGTCACTGGCACCTAGACCAACATTAACAAAGGAATGAATGATGTGCTCTAGAAACAACACAGGAAAGTGAAGTTGGCACCAGGTAAAGTTGGGGAAACAGTGACTGGAATGTGAAGCTGGAAGGAAAACTGAGGAAGATTTAGATTCCTTATGCCATGGGAAAGTGTCTTCTCTTACTCTGTAGGTGATGAGGGACCACTGAAGGTTTTGACAAAGGAAGGACATCAACAGTTTGTATTTTAGGAGGATAACTCAGTCTAGAAGATGGATGGAGTCAAGGGAGGAAGATCTGTTAATAGACAATTCTTGGTAGAGTGAGAGTAGAAAGGAAGAGAGAAATTTAAAAAGTAAAAATGGTCAAGTGACAAGAAGCCTGTGGAGAAGAATAAGAGAAAGAAGGAGAATATGAAAACTGTTGACTTTAGAGATTGGGTAGGTTTGAGCCAGGGTGAAAAGTTAAGTTGGAAATTTACCCATAGTACCTCTAAGTGGGTTATTAGATAGTCAATTGGCAATGTTGAATAGACAGTATTAGTTAGGATTAGGCTTATCCACAGTTACAAAGACATAATTCTAGTACCATAAAGAAGATAAACATTAGTTTTTTCTTCCCATAGTAGTCCACACATAAGCAATACAGGCAAATATGATGGCTCCATTGTGTTAGAGACACAGGTGTTTTCTAATCCTGCTGCACCAGAATAATATGTTATCCCTATCCATGTGGCCTTGGGTGTGGGTCACCACCACATCCTCTAGATCCTCCTTGTCCAGCTAGTGGGGGGGTGAGTAAGAAGAAGTGGGGACTGGGAGATAATGCCTCTTTTATTGAAAGATACAGCCTGGAATTTTTATACTTTAAAAAATGCTGTTGTAAAATAAAAGGTTAAATTTACCATCTTAACTAGGTACACTTTACTTTTTCTTATATCCCATTGGCCAATTAGTATTCATATAGCCACACCAAGATGCAAGGGAGCTTGGGAGATCTGAATGGCTAAACCCCCAGTTAAAATCTGTGGATTTTATTGCAAGGGAAAAAGGAAAGAAGAGAGTGGGTATTGAGGGACAACTAGCATATCTTTCATATAGCTGGAAATATAGTTTTGAAGTGCAGAAGAATGCAAGAGATAGATTGAGAATCACCAATTTATCAGTAATATAATACATGAGAATGTATGAGACAATGTATAGAAATAATACTAAATAGCTAATATATGAGTGTTTACTGTATTTGTACATTGTCCTAAACTTTCAAATATTTTAACTAAGGGTTCATTATTATTGAACCCTCCCTCAACAAGGAAACTGAAGCATAGAAAGATAGTCATGCAGCCAGTCAATGATGTAGTCAGGATTTGAACCAGTTACTGGTTTATGAGGTCTTATGATGTTATCCTTCCTAAAAGAAAGACCCCAGTGAACCTAAACTTTTAAGACAATACAGAACCAGTAAGAGAATAATTATCAGCAAGGAAGTAGATAATTGGATCTTGGAAATTAGGAAAGGGTTTGAAAGAAGACAGGGTAATGTTGCAGAGAGATCAAGTGTATTGAAGGCTGAGGAGAGAGGCTATTGGATATGGGAATTAACAGGTCATTGACATCTTAAAACTAATTCATAACACCTCTTATCAACAGGGTGTCTGAATGAAACGTAATTGTACACCTAACCCTTAACTGTACCCCACAAAACTATAATAAAAATACTGATTAATTATTAAAAAAAAAAAAAAAAAAAAAAAAAAAAACTAATTCATTCTAGGAAGTGCTGAGAAATGAAGTCAGATTACATTCTATTCATCAAAGAATGTGAGATAAGAAAATAGTTACTCTTTGAAGAAGTTTGTTGATGAAGAAAAAAGATTTGCTTAAAAAAGTAAATTAATTGGCATTAATAAGTATTAATTAATCAAAAAAGTCAGGATTTTTTCTTTGTTTTTTGCCAAGATTTTCCAACTCTTGATACGTTGATAAAAACGATCTGTAATTTTTTCTTCCCCTATGGGTTTCTCTATATTTTGGAATTCTGCAGGCGCTGTTATTCTAATCAGCTGGTTTCTGATCGATATGTCATGCCAGAATATTTTATCCAACCGGGACATCTCTGTTGTATAAAGATTTCTGAGGACAAGTGGTGGTATCGGGTCATTATCCATCGAGTCCTTGGGAAACAGGAAGTTGAAGTGTTCTATCCAGACTTTGGGAATATTGGAACTGTTCAGAAGTCCTCCCTAAGGTTCCTCAAGTGAGCTGAATTTAATAAGAACAATGGACAAATTAAATGTTGAAGCTGTGTGGGGTTAAAATCGCTCCTTTTCTTTTGCCTTCCTCCCTCCATCTTTGCCTCCTTTCCATCCTTCTTTCTTCTTAGAGTATACTTGACAACTGGTCATCCAGTTTCACAGATGGATTTTACCTCTTATGTTGTCTTGCACATGACTGTTAATTTGAATGGGCCATGAGACTAAATTTTAGTCTCTTATTAAGAAAATGATTCTTTGGGTCATGCTTAGAAGTGCATTTATATAGTAGGAAGTTTGAGCTGTTTCTACCTGTGTTTTAATTGTTTGGTTCTCAAAGACTACTTTTTAAAAAAAAATTGTATGTCTTAGATTGCTTTTATGTATAAGGCATTGACTTTAAATTTCATGAATAAAATACTCTGAAATGGTTTGAGTAACTAAACTGAAGAAACAGATTAGAGATCCCACAAAATGCAGTTTTAAAAATATGAAATATTTATATATTTGATTATCTATTGCAGGTGCTGCTACACAAAGCTTCCAGCTCAGGCTATCCCTTGTTCTTTGGCTTGGGTGAGACCAGTAGAGGTATGTTTGTTTCTCATTTAATCAGCAAGCTTTTGCATGCTTGCTTACTGTGTGCCAAGAACAACTTTGCATGGGCCCAGAATACAAAAATAAAATATAGAACCAGCCCTCAAAAAATCATTTATGGAAGAAAGGCAGGCAGACAAATGTTGTTTTACTATATACAGTTTGCTATAACAGAGGCTTTTACAGTGGGAAAAGGTAGAGTGCAAAAGGAAGAGTGCTTGTCTCTGTCCAAGGTCATCAGGGAGGGTTCATAATAAAGGTGGCATTTGAGTGGCACTTTGAAGGAAGATTAAGAATATAAGTGGACGAAAAAAGAAGGAAAGCATTCCAGGCAAATGGAGACTAGCACCAAACATGTCACATTTGAGAAATTTTAAGTAGTTTTTTTAAGCTACAGAGTATAGGATGAGCTGGAGTGTGTACATGGCTGATCAAATCAAAGAAATAAGCAGGAGCCTAATAGGAAGACCCACGTTCGGTAGTCTGAACACTGTTGTCCTTTAGATGCTGGAAGCAATTAAAGGATGTAAATAGAGAACTGCCACAGTCAGATGCAGGTTTTTAGGAGAATTATCTAGTAGTATTGTGGGAGAGGTTTAGGGCGGGATGGAACAGGATGCATTTTCATCCACATTAGGCACATTTGTTTATGTAGTTACCATTATCCTATGCACCTGTCTTTTCCTTCAGAACTCTTACTAGCACATACCTTTAACTTTATTATACCATATATGTCTGTTTAACCTAAATAACTTACCAGTTGCTTACATACAGGTGGATTATTATTTTTTAAATGTTTTTATCTGAAAAGTTCTGTAAAGAGACAGATAAAGAAGAAAAATTACCTGTAATTCTATCACACAGACATATCCAGTTTAGAAATTTGTTGTGTGTTTCTTTCACTTAATTTAATAGATATTGGGAGTGAGGGTTTTTTGGTAGAGTTTTCAGCATTACTTAACCCTTTGCATTTGGAGACATCTCACAGATCACATACCACCAACTCAGGTGCACTTTTTAATGAAATAGTGATAAATGAATCACTTCATATTTAAATAGTATAGTATTGGAACCACTTATGTTATTGTAATGATATTTGGCTTATAATGGAGTTTTGGACATTGAGGAACTTATTTATGGCAAAAAATAAAAATTTTATATCTTTTTCTAATGTTTCGTTTGCTATATTTATGATGTCCTCTCAGAGGGGACACCCTAGTGCAAATGGTTACAATAGTAATAATATATTATTTTGTATTCTTTTTAAATTAGTATTGTAGCATATACTTTTATATATTAATAAGTTTTCAATTTTAATGGACTTGCAGTGTAATATATTAGGTAAGTGTGCCTCATAGCTTGTTTAAGCATTCCAATTTCCTGAATATAGGTTTGTTTTTTTTTTTTTTACTACTTTGACCATCAGGAGACTCAGGACTAAATTTATGAGTCAGTTGTAACCAGTGTTCATTACATTCATATCAGCCAGAGAACTTCTATTTTTTGTTCTCTTTGTTCTTTTTTTCTTTCTAAACTCTTCTGGCCTTAGGACTTTGTCCATTCTGATCACTGGAATAAATTCAAAGTAATCTCCTGGTTGTCCTTGTCCTTCAAATCTAAGTACAAATATTATTACCTCAAAAAGACTTCCTTGACCTACCAATTAAAAGTGCACCCTTCCACTTTAGCCATTGATTGTCATCTTGTTTTATGTTCATAATGCTTATCACTAGCTGGTATTGTCTTATTTGTTTATGCATAACGGTGTAAACCCCTAAGGGACATTGTCTTATTCACCACGGAATCTGCAGTGCTTAGATCAATGCTTGGTACATGGTAAGTGTTCAATAAATGTTTTTAACTAAATGAATCTATCTCACTTTATTTCTGTGTCTGTTTTCTGATTTCAAAAATAATTAATGAATTTGGTATTGGCATAGTAGCAACAGAGTAGCATGTTGGGACTGATATTCCCATCAATGAAATCAAAAGCTGGCAGAAAAGCAGAAGTCAAATTGTAATGGTTAAGATCAGGACATGTCCAGCTTTTTTTCTGAAGGCACTCCTCAGTCCACAGCCTTTAGGACATTATTTGGAACTGACAGAACGGCTAGAAGTTAGGGAGGAAATACTTGAAAGGAGGGAGCCACAGAATGGGTGAGTTACAAAATTGGTGTATACAGTCTTCCCAAATCCTTGGATAACTACTGAACTTTATAAGGACTGTGGAGAACCTAGTGGCCCTAGTAAAAAATTGACGACTGGCATTTGAGGCAACGAACAGAGATTTCAGTTGCTACCAAATGCAAAGAAGACAATTTTGCATTTAGATGGTTTAACTGCCTGTAAAACAAATGAAACCACTCTTCAGAAGAGCCTAATGGAATGCAGAATCTCTACAATATATTGCTAATGTTTACTGCTCAATTAAAAATTACTATATATGCAAAGAAACAGGAAAATGTGCTCACATATATGCTCAAGGAAAAAAGTAGTTGGTAGAAACTGGCATTGAGATGGCCTATATGTTGCAGTTGGTAAACATAATAAAGTAATTATTATGATTATGTTCAAAGACTAATTAGAACTTTTAAAAGTAAAATCATGAACCAGGCGTGGTGGCTCATGCCTCTAATCCTAGCACTTTGGGAAGACGAGGCGGGAGGATTGCTTGAGCCCAGGAGTACAAGAGCAGCCTGGGCAACATAGCAAGACTTCATCTTTATGAAAAACAAAAAATTAGCTGGGCTTTATGGTACTCACCTGTAGTCCCAGCTATTTAGGAGGCTGAAGTAGGAGTACTGCCTGAGCCCAGGAGGTTGAGGCTGTGGTGAGCTGGGATGCTGCACTCCATCCTGGGCAACAGAGTTAGACTCTGACTCAATCAATCAATGTATGTATATGTTTGTATGTAAAATCATAACATTGTATGTTGAAGTTTGTAACGTATGTTGTGATATTTATCTCAAAATTCTTAGTGCAGTTGTAAGCTTTAATACTTTAAAAGTGTAAATGCTACAAACTGTGATGTTTGAAGGCTTAATTCTTTACTTAATATGTATTTGTTTTGTAAATTTTGACTGATTTTTAAATCTTAATATTTTGTTTTAGTCAATTTATACCACTCCAATCAAAGATACTAAAGCAAAAAATAAAATATAGTATTTATAGTAGAATTTTTGTTTTCTATTCCTTCTTAAGACTGTTTTGATGTCATTTTTTTTTTTTTTTTTTTTTGAGTTGGAGTCTCACTCTTTCGCCCAGACTGGAGTGCAGTGGCCGCTCCCAGCCACCGCAGACTCAACTTGCTGGGCTCCGGCGATCCTTCCGCCTCAGCCTTCCAAGTAGCTGGAATTACAGGTACACGCTGCCACGCCCAGCTAATTTTTTGATTTTATTGTAGAGATGAGGTCTCATCTGCCCAGGAGGGTCTCGAACCCGCAGGCTCAGGCAGTCCACTCACCTCAGCTTCCCAAAGGCGCGGGATTACAGGCTGAGCCACCAAGCCCGGCTTGATGTCATTTTTAAAGGAATGTATTCTTTTAAAGTTTCAGTTTTGGCGTACATTGTTCATAATTCTCTGTCCTTTTGATGTCAACATCTGTAGTGATACATTCATTGTTTTATATTCTAAATATTGTTTATTTGTATCTTCTCTCTTTTTTCATGATCTAAAGAGACAGAATTTTGCTATTTTGAGTAGTTTTTTCAAATAACCAATTTTGGCTTTCTTGATTCTCTCTATTGTAAGTTTTCCTGTTTTATTTATTTCCTAATTTGATTATTTAACTCTGCTTTCTTTGGTTTATGTTGTCCTTTCTCCAACTTATTGTGAAAGCTTAGGTTACTAATTTCTAGCCTTTTTCTAGGTGTATCTAATAAGTTTTGCTGTGTAGTAGTTTTATTATTGTTCAGGTAAAAATATTTTCTAATTTATATTTTACTTTCTTGTTTGACTCATGGATTATTTAGAAGTTTCTTAGTTTATAAACGTTATTTTTCTAACTTATCCTTTTATAATTGATGTCTAGCTTAAATACACTGTGGTCAGAGATCATACTCTGGATAATATCAGCCCTTTAGATATGAGGAGACTTTTTATGGTCCAGTCCAGGGTCACTTTTTGTAAGTGGTTGTGTGCATTTGAAAAGTGTTCTGCAGTTGTTGTGTCAGTATTTTATATCTGTCTATAAAGTCAACTTTATTGTGTGAAACTCTTGTTATCCTTCCTGATTTTTTTTTGTGCCGCTTTTCTATAATTATTGAAAGAAGTGTGGTTTTACCTGTTTTTGTTTTGTTTTTTTTAAGATGTGGGGTACAATTCAGGGTTAGGTATATAAACGTTGATTATGCAGGTACCCTTGTTGATGAGGTGTGCCCCTCCCAACCCTAGCAGTTTCCTTCAACTGCCAATCCCTCCCCCCCCAACTGCCCCCATCCCCTGGCAGTTTCCCACTACTGTCAATCCCTTGAACAAATATCATTTGTATTATGATAATTGTTCAAGGCCCACTTAAGAGTGAGAACATATGGTACTCTGTTCTTTGTTTCTGTGATAGGTCACTGAGTATGATCGACTCTAAATCCACCCAAGTTGCTGTGAAGTCCATATGTTTGTCCTTCTTTATGACTGTATAATATTCCGTTGTGTATATGTACCTCATTTTTGTTTTATCCAGTCCAGCTTCCATGGGCAGCATGGTTGGTTCCATGTCTTTGCTATTGTGAATAGAGCTGCAACAAACACACGTGTGCAGGTATCTTTTTGGTAGAATGACTTGAGTTCCTCTGAGTATATTCCCAATAGGGGGATTGCTGGGTCATATGGAAGGTAAATTTCTAGTTCTTTCAGAAATCACCACACTGTCTTCCAAAGAGGTTGCACTAGTTTGCATTCCCACCAGCAGTGTAGAAGCGTTCCTTTTTCTCCACATCCTTGCCAGCATCTGTTGTTGTTTGTTTTATTAATGATGGCCATTCTTACTGGGGTTAGGTGGTATCTCAATGTGGTTTTGATTTGCATTTCTCTGATGATTAGTGAGACTGAGCACTTTTTCATGTATCTGTTGGTTGCCCATATGTCTTCTTTTGAGAAATGTCTATTCATATCTTTTGCCCACTTTTTAAAGGGACTGTTTGTTTTTTTCTTTTCCGTGCGTTTGAGTTCCTTGTAGATCCTAGATGTTAGGCCTTAGTCAGATATACAGTTGGCAAATATTTTTTCCCATTCTTTGGACTGTCTCCCTGCTCTCTTGATGGTTTATTTTGCTTTGCAGAAGCTCGTCAGTTTGATGAGGTCCCACTTGTCTGTCTTATTTCTTATGGTATGGGCACTTAGGGTTCCAATCAGGAATTGGTTGCCAGTTCCAATTTCCATAAGGGTGTCTCCTGCATTTTCTAAGATTCTTATAGTTTGAGGTTTTACGTTTAGATTTTTGGTCCATTTAGAGTTAATTTTGTGTATGGTGGTAGGTAGGGGTCCTATTTTAAATCTTCTGCATATGATCAACTTTCCCAGCACCATATGCTAAATAAGTTCTCCTCTCCTCAGTGGTTGTTCTTGGAGGCTTTGTCCAAGATGAGATTGTTGAGAAATTGAGAGTTTGCTTCCGGAATCTCTATCCTGTTCCATTGGTCTCTATGACTGTTCTTGTACCAATACCAGGCTGTTTTGATTACTGTAGACTTATAGTAAAGTTTGAAGTCTGGAAGTGTGATACCTCCTGCCTTGTTTCTTTTACTAAGGATTATTTTGGTTTTATCTATTTTTATTTTGTGTATTTCTTCCTATAATTGTCAGTTTTTGTTTGGTATGCAATGAGGGTGTGTTATTTGTATAGTACAGTATCAAAATTGTTATATCTTTCTGATGAACTGAATATTTTATCCTTATGAAGTTAACCTCTTTGTGTCTGTTAATGCTTTTTGCTTTAAAACTTCTTTTGTCTGGTATTATATAACTCTGTCACTTTAGTTGATATTTTCCTGATATATTTTTAAACTGTCATTCTACTTTTAACCTTTCTGTATTTTTATGTTTTAGGTATATCTTTTATGAACTACATATACTTGTATTCTTAAAAATCCCCACAAAACTGGATGCGGTGGCTCAGGCCTGTAATTGCAGCACTTTGGGAGGCTGAAGTGGGAGGATCACTTAAGGACAGGAGTTTGAGACCAGCCCTGGGTACCATAGTGAGACCTTGTCTCTGCATAAAGAAAAAAAGAAAAATCAGCCAAGTGTAGTCCCAGCTATTTGAGATGCTGAGACAGGAGGATCACTTAAGCCCAGAAGTCTGAGGCTATAGTAAGCCGTGATCATGCCACTGTACTCCAGCCTGGGTGACAGAGTCACTCCCTGACTGGAAAAAAAAAGAATGCTGGCGAATACCTTTTGTCTCTCAGTGGAAGCATTTAGTCCAATTACATTTAATGTGATAATTAATTTTATCTGGGTTTAAATCTAGTACTTCACTTTGTGTATACTATTTGGTCTCCCTGTTCTTTTTTTTTCTCACCTTGCACACCTTATTTTGAAGAGTTTTTTTTTTTTGGAGTTGGAGTCTCACTCTGTTGCCCAGACTGGAGTGCAGTGGCCACTCCCAGCCACCGCAGCCTCAACCTGCTGGGCTCCGGCGATCCTTCCGCCTCAGCCTTCCGAGTAGCCAGAATTACAGGCATGCGCTACCACACCCGGCTGATTTTTTCATTTATTATAGAGATGAGGTCTCGCTGCCCAGGTGGGTCTCGAACCCACAGGTTCAGGCAGTCCACTCACCTCAGCCTCCCAAAGGCACGGGATTACAGGCTGAGCCACCGAGCCCAACTCTGAAGAGTTTTTTTTGTTGTTGTTTGTTTGGTTGGTTGGTTTGTTTTTTTTTTAGTTGGAGTTTCACTCTGTCACCCAGGCTGGAGTGCAGGGCCACGCTCATGGCCACCATAGCCTTGACCTGCTAGGCTTAGGCGATCCTTCAGTCTCAGCCTTCCAAGTAACTGGAACTACAGACACACACGACCACACCCAGGTAGTTTTTGTGATTTATTGTAGAAAAGAGGTCTCACCAAGTTGCCCAGGCTGGTCTCAAACCCCTGGGCTCAGGCAATCCTCTCGCCTCGGCCCCCCAAAATGTTGGGATTACAGGTTGAGCCACCGTGCCCAGTCTGAAGAGATTTTTAAAATCATTTCACTAAGTAATACACTGTATGACTTTAATGAATACTTTAGGAAATACAACATATATACGTATAACAGTGCAAGGATATTAGCCCACTTTAATGTCCTTATCCCCCCTATTTTTGTTGTGTAATTAATGTTACCATTTTTAATCCCTCAAGAAACTGATTGCATAAAATAATGTCAATTTAGACTTAACTGCATACTTTTCAGCTCTTCATTCATTCTCCAGTCAAAACCTTTGTACGCATTTTTCTTCTATTTGAACTGTATCCTTTAGGATTTTATTTAATGAAGGTCAGCTGGTAGCGAACTAAGTCATGTTTATCTGAAATATCATTTATTTTACACTTATAGAAAAATATATTTACTAGCTGTAGAATTCTAGGTTGGTAGTTAACATATTTAGCATATTGAAGATAAAATTACTGGCTTCGACTTCCCTTAATTTTTAAAGTAATGGATGTTCTTTTGAGGGCAGTGTTCTTTTTGTCTCTAGCTGTTTTGGGGATTATCTTTTTGTCACTCATGTTCCTCAGCTTTAGTAAGATGTGTTTATGTGTGAATTTATTCTTATGTATCCCATTTTATGGTCCATTGGACTTCTTTTGTCATTTGTCATTTTTCATTCAGTCCTGCAAATTCCCAGACATTATCTCTTTAATTACTGTCTGTACCCCACATTCATATTTATATTCTCTTTGCTTCTGCTTCTCTATTTCTGGGACCATAATTTAAAGTATGTTAAAGCTTTTCAACTTTTCTTCCATATCTTTTTTTTTTTTTTTTTTTTTTGAGTTGGGAGTCTCACTCTGTCACCTAGACTGGAGTGCAGTGGCACACTCACAGCCACCACAGCCTCGACCTGCTGGGCTCCGCCATCCTTCCACCTCAGCCTTCCAAGTAGCTGGAACTACAGGCACATGCTACCATGCCCGGCTAATTTTGTGATTTATTGTAGACATGAGGCCTTGCCAAGTTGCCCAGGCGGGTCTCGAACCCGTGCTCAGGCAATCCACGCACCTCAGCCTCCCAAAGCACAGGATTACAGGCTGAACCACCAAGCCCAGCTTCTTCCATATCTTTTAACCTCTTTTCTGTTTTTGTATCTGTCTGTCTTTTTGTGCTGCATTCTGGGTAATTTTTTTCCAAATTACCTCCTACTTTACCAGTTTACTCTTTTTTTTTTTTTTGAGTTGGAGTCTCACTCTGTCGCCCAGACTGGAGTGCAGTGGCCGCTCCCGGCCACCGCAGCCTCGACCTCCTGGGCTCCAGGGATCCTTCTGCCTCAGCCTTCCAAGTAGCCGGAATTACAGGCATGCGCTACCACGCCCGGCTGATTTTTTCATTTATTGTAGAGATGAGGTCTCGCTGCCCAGGCAGGTCTTGAACCCGCAGGCTTAGGCCAGTTTACTCTTTAATTCCACTAATCTTTTATTGAATTAACCTATTAGGGCTTAAATATTGGTTATTTTTACTCTCTAAAACTTCTTAGTTCTGCTAGATCCAATTTTATAGATTGCTGATCTCTGCAGAATCTTTCAACTAACCTAGGCTTGTTTGAGTTTTTTGTTTTGCTTTAAGCATACCAAGTTTAGGTTGTTTATAATTTGACTCAAAGTTAAAATATTTAAAATGCTAAGGATTTGTTTCAGTTGTGTTTTCCTATTTGTTCTTTTGATTCATCATTTCTTTGTATGCTTTTTATCTTTGCCTATGCACTGATCATTGTCTTTGAAAAATTAATTGTAAGAATGTTGAATAATACAGGCTGAGGTGCCTACCTTCAGAGAGGATCTACATGTGCTTCTGCCAGGTGCCTAAGAATACCACCAGTATGAAACTGTGTTAAATTAACAATTTGAGGATTTGTGGACCACCTTGGTGACAAAAAGCTAGTTTGTTTCTCCCTTACTCTGAGAGTGGACCCCCATAGAGACTCAACGATGGAAAGTTATCCTCCAGACTCCCTACCATGGGTGGACCGATGGCTTTGACATTTGTCTCCTTTAACCTATTAGGCCATCGAAACCAACGTTCAAAAATTGCTTGGATTAACAGATACTCTTAAGGCAAAAGTAGGTCTCACTTCCTTTCAATTTTGGCCTGATAATTTGTTAATAGCTTGTCAGTTCTTTGGTGCTTTTTTAACATATTTTTAAAATTTTTTACCTAGAATTTCTAGTCGTTTTCTGTGAGAGGGTTGTTCTAACCATCTAACTCAGTATTTCTGAAAATAGAAGTTTCGTACCACATAATTATTTAAATTTTTAAAATAATTTTTTTTTGAGTCAGAGTCTCACTCTGTCACCCAGTCTGGAGTGCAGTGGCATGCTCACGGCCACCCTAGCATCAGCCTGCTGGGCTCAGGTGATCCTTCCACCTCTGCCTTCCAAGTTACTGGAACTACAGGCATGCTCTACCACACCCAGTTAACTTTTTGATATATTGTAGAGACAGGGTCTCACCAAGTTGCCCAGGCTGGTCTCAAACCTTTGGGCTTAGGCAGTCCTCTGGCCTCAGCTCCCAAAGTGCTGGAATTAAAGGCTTGAACCATTACACCGGCCTAAAATAATTATACTTTAAATCATTTATCCTTTATTCTGACTTTTCTCATCCCCAATCGTAAATATTCTCCTATGTGTTATTCTAATACTCTTATGGTTTTATTTCCACTTAAATCTGTAGCTCATCAAAATTCATTTTTGTATATGGTTACTATAATTCATGTGTAATTTATCACCTGAATCTAATATCTTGATTATATTTCAGGAACACTGGACATCCAGAGCTATTTTGCAGTTCCAGAAGTTGTGTGGTTTGAAGCCATTAGTAGGAGTGGTGGATGAATATATAGATGGAATCCTTAACATTTTTCTATGTGACACATCCTCAAATGAAGACATCTATTTCCACCATGTCTTAAGAAAAGAGGGCCATGCTATTGTATGCCGAGAAAATATTCCTGCTAAGGTGCAGCAATCTGGATGTATTTTGTAATGTATTTTGTTCAATTGCAGTACTTCAAGGTATAAGAGAATTTAATACATGTTATTTAGTTTTTTCTCTAATCTTAAGGACATCCATGCAATTCCTGGCTTCGTACTGCTAAACACTCTTAATTTTCAGATGACCACAATAAAAACTATAATGGGCTAGTAGTCATATAGAATGTGGCGAATATTTAAAATAACTGACTGGTTATTTAGTTATCTGAAGTTGTCCTAGAGAAGAACAGCACTCTTATTTAGCAATTATTGATAGTGATATCTGCATCACTGTTGATGTTGATAATTTTTGTAACTGTCAATATGGAGTTTTTATTAAAATGTGGAAGAATATATATTTCCACAGCATTTGAAAATTACTAAGTGCTAACTTTTTCACCTTTTCCCTTGGGATAATGTAAATTCATACTCTTTTTTTTTAATCCTAGGGTTTTGGAGATCTCAACCCTTTAGCTTTGTACACTAAATCCAGTAGTGGACCAGAGGATGTTGTCTTGACCGAACTGGATTATTCTTCCCAACAGCACTATTTTAATGAAGACCGAAAGATAGGTTCACAATCAAAAGAGAGTGAGTTATATATCCTGGTAAGAGGCCTTTGAAAATATTATTATAATCCTTTTTAGTACTATAATCCTCATGTCATAGATGAAGAAACTGAGTCTTTCCAAACTTTGGAAAGTTTGAAGATTTTGCAGAGTGATCTTAACAGTTACTTGTCTCTTTATTTGCTGGTTTAAGTCATTGCTTCAGTCATACTTCCTCCTAAACAATTTCTCTCATCTACTAAATTCTATTGCTGCCTTTGTGCAATGTGACTTCCCCTACACTGAATCTGAATGTTATTCTTCTCTCTACACTAAGCAGGTTTCAAGTGTTCCTACTTCTTACTTTACTTACAAACATTTGGTAACTCCCCACTCACAGTAACAATAATGTTATAAGATAATTATTATTATCATATATTATTCCAACCCACAGTAATAATATAACAACAACATTTATTGAACTTTTATGTGTATGTGTTTTATATGAGTATATGTTCAAAGCATTAACATGTATTAGCTAATTAATCTTTACAACAATCTTAATAGATTGGTACTTTCATATTCTCATTACAGATACAGGTGTGCATTCCTAATCCAAAAGCCCAAAATCTGAGATGCTCCAAAATCCAAATCTTTTTGAGCAGCTACATGACACCACAAGTGGAAAATTCCACACCTGGCCTCATGTGATGGTTCACAATCAAAACTGTTTCATGTACAACATTAATTACCTTTAGCATATGTATATAAGGTATTATGAAACATAAATGAATTTTGTGTTTAGACTTGGGTCCTAATCCCAAGATATCCCATCATATATATGCAAATATTCCAAAATCCAAAATAATCTGAAACACTTCTGGTCCTAAGCATTTTGTATAAGGGATACTCAGCCTGTAAAAGGCAAGTGTAGCATATAGTAAGAACTTAATGTTTCCTGAACAAATAAACATGTCTTCTGAGTTTTATATTCCTCATGACAACTGGTGCTGGGTTCAGAATATAGGATGGGTTTAATTTGAGGGTCAAAAATGTTTTGTTCATTCAAGTCTATTTTATTTGGAAGAAAAAAATATTAATTTGCTTAGTATGTTTTGTATATCTGACTTTTAAAGTTAAGCAACAGAGATGATTTTTTAGTAGATACTTACTAATTATTAGAAAAAATTAAAAGGGAAAAACCATTTTGACTACTGGGAGATTAACCTGTTGTGAAAAATATGTATGAATGTTTTCTGCTACATGTTCCAAACAGTATAAAGATTTTAGATTTCTCATCATGTTAAAATTAGTGGAGCTTGTACGTCGATAATTTTCTGAAGCCTAAATTTTTCTTAGTCATTATTACTGGACAAGAAGAATTATTTTTCTTCATTGTTAAATAGTAGATTGAATTTAACCCTTTAATTTTTTAGAATATCCTATCATCATTCTGGTGATGTCTCCAAATAATCATAGTTTAGTCCTGGAAATGAAATAGGACCATCTTTTCTGTAAAAAAGAAAAGGCTTAAAACTTTCCTGTCCCACCCCAGCCTATATTATGATACAGTAAGACTACCATATGCTACGAAAACACCTACCTCTCTACATCCAGTTCCCTGATAATTCCTGCTCATCTTTTAAGTGTTTTTTTTTTTTCATTTCATCTTCTTAGACATCCCCTCTTCCAATCATATTTTGGTCATATTTTTGTGATGGCTCTACTCAGAAGACTGCACCTGATATACATATGGTTTTTTAGATCCTTTAGATCTGGAACCTGTTGTATTCATCTTTATATCTTTATATGTGCACAAAAAGTGTTGGCCTGAATTTGTTTAAAATGATAGGGTCATGGATTCAGCTATAAAATAATGTAGCATTTATATGAACCATAGAAAAACATTTTTCCTAAAATTTATTGGCTTACAGATTTTGGAAACAGCATTAATAATTGAAAATAAAATAATTTCTCTTTCATATCTACTAGCAAGATATTAATGATGAAAAGTCTTTAAGCCACCTTAAATCTGCATCAACAGAGCCATTAAAGTATTCTAAATTCAACTCTTTGAAAACTCTTGATAAGAGCTGTGAAGAAGACCCAAAGTGGTCCATCCCAGAGCCAAAGGATCTGAAGGAAGAAAATGAGGTAAAAGGAAAGGTCATTTTAAAATATGTAAATAATATCATTAATTCATAAGTGAAGAGGACTGGGATAAAATAGCTCTTTAAACCCCACTGCTTTCAGTATTACAGAGTCTCTCTTCTACAGTTGCCATGACCAAAGTTGTAGCAACGTAACCATGATCACAAAAAAGACACTGTCTGACTTCGATGTCTTAGGTACTATCCCATGGCTTTGGGCAGTCTTCAAGAATTATGTAGTGCTTAGAAACTAGAGAGATAATATTAGGAAGAACCCATTAGGAAAAATGTTGACAACTTTTTTGGAGGATGTATTTCTAGTTTAGTCAGATGTTTTTGCACACATAACTTGGAGCCCCCCATGACCTCTTCCCCTTCATTTCCTATATCCCAGAGCAACCATTTTCATCTCTTTAAGCTGCTGCTTTTGGAATTTACCTCTATTTCTTCCACTAAGTAGCATGCTTATGTTATTATTTTCTGGTTATTTAATTTTAAGTACCTATGGATTTCCCACTATGAAAGATGGAGTTTAGTCTTCTTTCATCCCTTCACCCCCACCAGGCACAAACGTATCTTTCCCTATCATCTTGCTAATAGAATATATCAAACTTTCCATTAGGTTCCCATTCAGTATTTGCAATGTTATGAATATAGTAATGCTGTTCACGGCTTGTCCAAGTAATATACTATCTCACTTTTTCTTTCCTGTATAACTCATTTTTATGTTAATATTTTTAAAAAAATTAACACACATTAAAATTGGATTTCTTTTGGTATAGTCTTCTATCAGTTTTAATACATGTGTAAACGTAATCACAATCACTATGCAGAACAGCTCCATTATTTGAAATAACTCCCTTGTGCTACCTTTTTGTAATCAGTCTCCCCACGTCCCTAACCCCTAGCAACTAACTATTGATCTGTTTTCCATCACTCTAGTTTTACCTTTCATCATATAAATGAAATCATACAGAAGGTAACCTTTAGAGACTGGCTTCTTTCATTCAGCGTAGTTCAGTTCCTTTGAGATTCATCTAAGTTGTTTTATATATCAATACTTCGTTCATTTTTATTGCTGAATAGTATCTTTAATGTAATTATTTATTATAGAATTGTGGGGTACAAGTGAGGATTTATTACATAGGTAGGCTGTATTCAGGTGAAGCTTAGACTTCCGGGTGGCCCTCACTGCCCTGGTAGTGGACCAAGAACCCTTTGTGCTGTCACATGTCCCCCATCCTCCTCCCTCCCTCCCCCCCGCAGCCAGTGACTGCCAGTCACTCTTGTGCTAATGTGACTAGTGTTCAGGGCCCACTTATGAGTGAGAACATGTAGTATTCAGTTCTTTGTTTTTGTGATAGTTTACTTAGTATGATGGTCAACAGCTGCATCCAAGTTGCTGTGAAGGCCATGATTTTTCTCTTCTTTATGACTGTTTAATACTCCGTCATGTATATGTACCACATTTTTTATCCAGTTCACTTTTGATGGGCAGCAGGGTTGGTGGTTGGTTCCACGTCTTTACTATGGTAAATAGTACAGCAATAAACTTGCGTTTGCAAGTATCTTTTTGGTGGAGTAATTGATGTTCCTCTAGGTATATTCCCAGAGGAGGGATTGCTGGATTGTATGGAATATCAATTTTTAGTTTTTTTAGAAATCGCTGCAGGCAACCCCTTCGGGTCCCCTCCCACTGTGGGAGCTTCTCTGTTCTCTCAATAAATCCTGCTTTGTCACTTTCTGGCTGTCCGTGTCCCTCATTTTTCCTGGGCATGAGATAAGACCCTCGACCTGAAGAGCTGTAGAAGATTGTCAGAGCCGAAGAGCTGTGCACCCCAGAGGCTGGCTTGCCAGACAACAAAGTCAGCTGAAAAAAAGAATTCGCTGCACTGCTTTCCATAGGGATTGAACTAGTTTACATTCCTACCAATGTGTAGAAGCATTTGCTTTTCTCTGCAGCCATGCCATAACCTGTTGGGTTTTTTTTATTATTTATTAATGATAGTCATCCTTACTGGAATTAGGTGGTATCTTGCTGTAGTTTTGATTTTCATTTCTCTGATGATTAGTGAGGCTGAGCATTTTTTCATGTGTCTGTTGGCTACTTGTGTGTCATCTTTTGAGAAGTATCTGTTTATGTACTTTGCCCATTTTTTAATGGGGCTGTTTGTTTTTTTCCTTTCACTTCTTATGAGTTTCTGTAGTTCTTGAATGTTAGGCCTTTGTCAGATACATAATTCACAAATATTTTTTTCCCATTAGTTGGTTGTCTCTTTACTCTCTTGATAGTTTCTTTTGCTGTACAAAAGCTTTTAAGTTTGAAGAGTTCTCACCTGTCTGTCTTAGCTTTTGTAGCATTTGCTTTTGGGACTTGGTCATGAATTCATTGCCTATTCCAATATCCAGAAGGGTGTTTCCTATACGTTTTTGTCTAGGATTCTTATATCTTAAGGTTTTACATTTAGGTCCTTGATCCATTTTGAATTGATTTTTGTATATGGTGATAGATAGGAGTCCAGTTTCATTCTTCTGCATTTGGTTAGCCAGTTTTCGCAGCACAGTTTGCTAAATATGGTCTCCTTTCCCCAGTGATTGTTATTGGTGGCTTTGTTGAAGATGAGTTGGGTTGAGGGAACATGTTTTTACTTCTGGAATCTCTGTCTTGTTCCATTGGTCTATGTGCCTATTTCTGTATCAATACCATGCTGTCTTGGTTACTGTAGCCTTGTAATAAACTTTAAAGTCATACCTGGCCACAGTGGCTCACACTTATAATCCCAGCACTTTGGGAGATGAGAGGATTGCCAGAGCCCAGGGGTTCGAGACCAGCCTGGGCAACTTGGCAAGACCTCATCTCTGCAATAAATACATTTTTAAATGGTGGCATGTGCCTGTAGTTCTAGCTTCTCAGGAGACTGAGGCAAAAAGATCACCTGAGCCCAGTAGAAAGAAGCTACAGTGGCCATGCATGCACTGCACTCTAGCCTGGGCAACAGAGTGAGACTCTGACTCAGAGGGGAAAAAAAAGTTTAAAGTCTGGAAATGTGATACTTTCCACTTTGTCTCTCTTGCTGAGGATTGTTTAGGCTATCCGTGCTTTTTTTTTTTTCTGTATGAATTTCTGTATTGTTGCTTCCAGGTCTGTGAAAAAATGATGATAATTTGATGGATATTGCATTGACTCTGTAGATTGCCTTGGGTAGGATAGATATCTTGTCAGTATTGATTCTTCCAATCCATGAGAATAGGATCTTTTTCTATTTATTTTGCATTATCCTTGATTTCTTTGAGCATTTTGTAGTTCTCATTGTAAGGTCTTTAATTTCTCTAGATAAGTGGATGCCAAGGTATTTCTTTTCTTTTCTTTTTTTGTGGCTATAGTGAATGGGATTATGTATTTTATTTGGTTCTCCACCTGCTTGTTGCTGGTATATAAGAATGCAGCTGTCTTTGCATGTACGTGAGATCATGTGTTACTCATCTTCCTGTTTTTCTCTTGTCTGTTTGATAATAGCCATTCTAATTGGTATAAGGTGATATGTTGTAGTTTTAGTTTTCATTTCCCTGATAATTAGTGATGTTGAACATTTTTTTCATATATCTGCTGGCCATTTGTATGCATTTTTTTGAGAAATGTCTGTTCATGTCCTTTGGCCATTTTTTAATTGGGTTGTTTTCTTACAATTGCAATGAGTTCCTTATGTATTTTGGATATTAACTCCTTATTAGGTGTATGGTTTGCAAAACTCTCCCATTCTGTAGAGTCTCTTTACTTTGCTGATTGTTCTCTTTGCTGGGCAGGAGTTTTTCGTTTGATGTAATCCCATTTGTTTTGTTTGCTTTTGTTGTCTGTGCTTTTAGAGTCATATACTGACCCAAAGAAATCATTGCCCAGATCAATGTCATGGAGCTTTTCCCTATGTTTCCTTCTAATAGATTTATAAACTTAGGTCTTACATTGAAGTCCTTAATCTATTTTGAGTTGGTTTTTGTATATGATATGAGATGAGAGTCTAGTTTCAGTCTTCTGTATGTAGAGATCCAGTTTTCTCAACACCATTTATTGAAGAGACTATGCTTTTCCTCTTTGATGAAAATCAATTGACTGCAAATGCACAGATTTATTTCTGGGCTCTCTATTCTTTCACAGGGCTATCCATCTGTTTTTATGGCAGCCCTATGCTCTATGTTTTATATATTCTAGGGTCTGTGCCTTTCCATATAAATTTTGAAATAAGTTTATCTATGTCCAAAAAATACCTTCTGGGGATTTTGATAGAAATTGCATTAAATTATTTGATTAATTTAGAGACGAATTGAAGACATCTTTATTATGTTGTCTTCTAATATATGAACATTGGGTATCTCTCCATTTATTTAGGCCATCTTTGTTTTCTTACCTCAGCATTTAAAAATTTTTAGTATATAGGTTCTGTATAAATGTATACCTAGTGTTATTTGGTATGATTATAAATGGTGTTTTTAATTTGTTTCTGCATGTTCATTGTTTGTATATAGAAATAACAACTGATTTTTGTGTGTGTGCCAGTCTTGTACTACAGCCTTACTCACTTAGGGGATTCCTTCCTTCCTTCCTTCCATCCTTCCATCCATCCATCCATCCATTAGAGTCTCACTCCGTTGCCCAGGCTGGAGTGCAGTGACACACTCACGACCACCCCAGTGTCGACCTGCTGCACTCCGTCGATCCTTCCACCTCAGCCTTCCAAGTAGCCAGAAATACAAGCATGCACAACCACACCTGGCTAATTTTTTATGCATTGTAGAGATGAGGTCTCACCAAGTTTCCTGGACTGGTCTTGAACCCACAGGCTCAGGCAGTCTACTTGCCTCGGCCTCCCAAAGTGCTGGGATTACAGGCTGAGTCACTGAGCCTGGCCAGGGGATTTTATTTTTAAAGATTCCTTGGAATTTTCTACAAAGACAATCATGTCATCTACAAATATGATCAGTTTTATTTCTTCCTTTCTGATCACATGCCTTTTATTTGTTTCTTCCCTTATTGCAATTGGCTAGAACTTCTAGCATTATGTTGAGTAAGAGTGGTAAGAGACAAATTTGCCTTGTATTTTATCTTGGGGGAAGCATTAAGTGTAGGTGTTCTTTATTGAATTGAGGAAATTTCCCTCTATTCCTGTTTTTCTGAGAGTTTTTCTCACAAATAGGTGTTTATTTTGTCAAATTTTTTTTATCAACTGATATAATCATAGGATCTTTCTTTAGATCATTCATATGGTAGATTACCTTGATTCAGTTTTCAGTGTTAAACCAATCTTGCATATCTAGATTGTATAAACGTACCCATGTTTATCATTTCTGTTGCTCTTCCTTTTTCAGATTTTCCAAGTTTCCTTTTGATACCATCTTATTTCTGTCCAAAGAATTCCTTTAGCAATTATTTTAGAGCATGTCTGCAGACAATGAATTTTCTTAGTTTTCTTCATTGAGAAGGATTTGATTTTTTTTCATTCTGTTTTTGCTGGATTTAGAAATCTGGGTTGCCAGTTCTTTTCTCTTAGCACTTCAGCAATTTCATGATACTTCTTTATGGCCTTTATAGTTTCTGATATGCAATATTTCCTCAGCATTTTCAATGTAATTGAAATTGTTCTTCCTTTTAATGGACGTTTTGTTTTCCTATGACTACAGTCAAGATTCTTTTTGTCTTTAGTTTTCAACAGGTTGATTATAATCTGTCTAGGCATAGATTTCTTTAGGTTTTCCTAGTTTAGGTTTTGTTGAACATCTTGAATCTATAGATTTATTTCTTTCACCAAATTTGGGATGCTTTCACCCATATTTCTTCAATTTATTTTTCTGCACTGTACTTTTTCTAGTCTCTTTCTGAGACTTCAGTGATATAAATGTTAAATATTTTGTTATTGTCTCACAAGTCCCTGAAGCTTTGTTTTATTTTGTTGTAGTTGTTTTTAATCTTTTTTTCTCTTTTGTTTAGATTTGATCATTTCTATGGATCTGTAATCAAGTTCATGCATTCTTTTATTTCTGTTCTGCTATTGAAGAGGACCAGGGATCTCCATATTCAGTATAAAAACCTTCACTTAATTCTTTAATAATTTTTTGTTATGCTTGCTCCAGTCTCAGTTTTACCCTTGAGGATATTTTTGGTCTTCTAGCACATAGAAAAGATAGCTGTCTTAGTCCTCGGAATAAAGGAGAATATCTGGAGATCTAACTGCATACACAGACTTTCAACCTGTGCTTATTACACAGACTTTTAACCAGTGCTCTTTTCATTTCCACTTTCAAAAACCTTGTACCAATTTCTGAGTTTTTAAGGAATTCTCAGTATAGATTTGGGTTGCTTCTCAGTTTTTCTCACTACAAGCTCAGGATTCCGCTTTTTTGGGACTGCTTAATCAGTTCTTACTTGTCTGTTTTCCTGTGTCCAGAATGTAGATGATGCTTCTTCTCTTCTGTTCTCTTTGACCATGAAGATTATACCTTAAATCTCTTATTTTAATTTTATTATTATTATTATTAGAATCAGAGTCTCACTCTGTCACCCAGGCTGGATCACAGTGGCACAATCATGGCTACTGTAGCCCTGACCTGCTGGGCTCAGGCAGTCCTTCCACCTCAGCCTTCCAAGTAGCTGGAACTATAGGCATGCGCCACCATGCCTGACTAATTTTTTGATTTATTATAGAGATGAGGTCTGGCCAAGTTACCCGGGCTGGTCTCAAACCCCTGGGCTCAGGCAGTTTGCTCACCTCTGCCTCCCAAAGTGCTGGGACTGCAGGCGTGAGCCCCACACCCAGCTCTTTATTTTTCTTATAATGGCATTTCAGGAGTGAAAGAGTAATAAATTATGTATTCAAACTGCCATCTTTACCTGGATTCAGGAAAGAATTATAAACTTAAAATTTAAAATGTGCTTATATAGGAATTGTAAATGTTAGTTTTTCTTTGTCTTCTGATACATTCTAGGATGAGATTCCTACTGGAATGCCTTACCTGGAGTCAGTGACCATAGGTGATGATATTTGGGATGAGAACTGGTTACCTTTGCAGGCTAAGATGGGAAAAGGAGATGATGCTTCCTCCCATCTATTTACCTCAAGCCTTGGTGAAAAGAAACCGTATTCATCATGTAAAGAAATGCCACCAAAGGTTAGATCCTTAGAAAATAGAAGGCAAATCGCTACTGAACAAAGGAAACTTAAATTTAATTGATGAAGAAAACTATACATTCTAGAATTCAAGAGGATTTATCATGCCACAATTCAAAAGAATACATGATTTTTTTAAAATAGCAGTGATAGGTGGGGGCAACAGAGGATTCAGAAGGGGAGAGTAAACCATGGGCTTACTTGGCATATCTGCCCTTTCAGACATTGTGATTTTTATTTTATTATTGGCCCTTGTCAGGCCCCTTAGGATCTAGAAGTAAACTAAAGAAACTATTTTCTCTATTTTTGTTGCTTTAGCCTTTTTTTTTTTAAAGTAGGATTTATTGAGAGGACAGAAAAGCTCCCAGAGCAGGAGGGGATTCGAGGGGGTTGCCTTGCCTTAGCCTTTTAATATAGCCTCTAGATTTCTGCAGTCAGAATTATGCTAATATTGGGCCTAGTTATATATATTTAAAATTTACCTAGTTATATATATTTAAAATTTACTTTCTACTGGTTATAAGAAAGAAGAAATATCTGAAGTTGCTCCTTAGTATTTGTACTGTTTAGATACTAAATAATTATGAAAAATCATTTAGCCAAGGAAAAGGTATTTAAAAAATACCACAGGGTTTATTAACTTTTGAGACTCATGTATTCAAGAAGTAAGGGAGAAGAAAGTCACACTGATACAGAAAGTTAATAAAATTCCTTTTCTTATTTAATGTACATTGCCTCCTTTACTTTATCTTGCCCAAGTTATTCTCTTTTCTGGATCATGTGACACTGTATCTCTGTTTATTATTGTAGTTTTTTCTTTATAGGATTGGTGTTTTTCTACACCCAAAGATACATGGGATGATTCACGGCAGCCTTCAGGCTTTGTGAATGGAATGAAAATAGAAGTAGAACCCAAACCAGAAGGACTGGATACTCAGGAAAAAAATATTGGCAAAACTAGGATTCAAAAGGTAAACATCTGGATCACACCTGTAATTGCAGCACTTTGCGAGGTGGAGGCAAAAAGATTGCCTGAGCCCAGGGGTTCAAGACCACCCTGGGCAACTTGCAAGACCTCGTCAATAAATACATAATTACAATAAATAGATAAATAAAATTAACTGGGTGTGGTGGTACACATCTGTAGTTCCAGCTACTCCGAAGGCTGAGGCAGAAGGATTGCCTGAGCCCAGCAGGTCGATCGAGACTGCAGTAGCCGTGATTGTGCCACTGCACTACAGCCTGGGCAACAGAGTGAGACTCCGACTCAAAAAAAGAAAAAGGTAAATGTCTAATGCACGTAATTGTGACAGGTTTGCATGAGGAAGTGCTTTCATTTTTAGAAAGTAAAATTGCCTCAATTTGCATATTTATTATTATATTGCCTGTGTCTTAACAGGTTGCTGCTGCAACAATTATTGTTTTTGATAGATTTGTTTTTGGGACTTTGTACTAGAGTTGTGAGTAGATAGCACACCACAAATACTTTTAGTTAATGATCCCTCTCTTATCAATTGGTATAATATACATAAAATGTGTGTTGATTTTTAAATTAATTTTAATTAATGTAATATAGTTATTCATCTCTTCATAAGATTAAACCTCTATGTTAGGGATAGAGAAAATTGGTATTTTCCTATAACCTTGTCATACATTTGTAAGCTTTATATCTGTCTAGTAATCTAGACCAGCTTCTTCTTTCACATTGCTTTGATAGAAAGCAGTAATCCTGGCACAAAATCTATTTGTTTCATGTTTTTCATATATATTATGAGCATCCTAAAAACAGCAGGACAATTTGTGTGATTCATGAAATTTGGCTACCAGGATTCTGTACTCTTGTGTTACATTGAAAATAAAAAGCTTAAGTTTGGAAGACTTGTTGAAAAGCACTTGAGGAAGATGAACCTTCTAAGTGATATATTTCCTTCAGACTATAGTTACTTTGTATTACAGGAATGATAAAGTCATTCTGTGTTACATAAAGCAGTCTGTTCCAGAAATAAAGGTTACTTTAGAGCATTAATTTAGTTTTAGGATAAAATAGGCTTTTAAATTTTGTTTCTCAAATAGCTTTTTAAAAAATAATAACTTTATTGAAATATAATTAACATTTCATTATAAGTCACTATTTAAAGTATACAGTTCCGTGTTTTTAGGATACACAGTTGTGTAGCTATCATTATGATGCATTTTAGAACATATTTGTCACCCCTCAAAAGAGCCCCATATTCATTAGCTGTAACACCCCTTGCCCCATCCTCCCACAGACTTAGGCAATGACTAATCTGATTTCTGTCTCTGTAGATGTGCATTTTCTTAAATGTCTCACAATATATGGTCTTTGGTGATTATCTTCTTTCACCTAAGCATAATATCTTCAAAATTCATCTATGTTGTAGCATGAATCAGTATTTCTTTACTTTTGATGGCTGAATACTATTCCATTGTATGTGATGCTTCATTTTATTTATCCATTCATCGGTTGATGGGAATTTGGGCTGCTTTCACATTTTGGCTATTATGAGCAATACTGCTAAGAATGTTCAAGTACAAGTTTTTGTGTGAACATATATTTTAGTTTTTCTTAGGTGTATAACTAGAAGTAGAAATTCTGTGTCATATGTTAACTCTATTTTTAATATTTTGTGACGCTGCCATACTGTTTTCCAAAGTGGCTGCACCATTTTAAATTCCCACCAGCAGTGTATGAGAGTTCTAGTTTCTCCATATCTTCACCAACATTTATCTGTCCTTTGCTTATAGCCATACTAGTGGAAATGAAAAGTATCTCATGGTTTTGATTCACATTTTTCTGATAGCATATTCCTGTTGAACTTCTTTTATGTGCCTGTTGGCCATTTGTTTGGAAAAATATCTTCTTTGGAAAAATATCAATTCAGATCCTTTGTCCATTTTTAAGTTGTCTTTTTGTTATTCAGATTAATAATAAAATATTTATAAAATAATAAATATAACAAATCCCTTATTTGGTACATTTGTTTTCAAAATTTTCTGCTATTCTGTTTGTCTTTTCGCTTTCTTATGGTGTCTTTTGCAGAACAAAAGTTTTTTGGTTTTTTTTTTTGAGTTGGAGTTTCACTCTGTCACCCAGACTGGAGTGCAGTGGCCGCTCCCGGCCACCGCAGCCTTGACCTGCTGGGCTCCGGCGATCCTTCTGCCTCAGCCTTCCAAGTAGCTGGAACCACAGGTATGCACTACCACGCCCAACCAATTTTTGATTTGTTGTAGAGATGAGGTCTCGTCAAGTTGCCCGGGCGGGTCATGAACCCGCGGGCTCAGGCAATCCACTCACCTCGGCCTCCCAAAGTGCTGGGATTACAGGCTGAGCCACCGAACCCGGCCCAAAAGGTTTTTTAATAATAAAATCCAATTTACTTTTTCTTTGGTTGCTTGAGCTCTTGGTATCATATCCAATAAACCATTGCCTGATCCAAGATTACAAAGGTTTACACCTGTGTTTTTCTCTAAGAATTTTATATATTTTTTAATATGTGCCTTACCCTCTATCCATTCCCTTACTACTTGGATTCCTATGAAGTTTGGGGGGAGGCTGAAACTAGAGGACCCCGACAACTGCTTGTTCCTTGGAGTGTCCATGAGAGCAGCAACTCTCACAGGTGTATCTATCACGTGAGCTCAGTATACATTAGAAACAGTCATGTGGTATGAGGGAGCCTGAGGCTGCCTTCTGATTTCTTGTGGCTCCCCAGTGGCATTTGAGAAGGTCATACATTTGCACGTCAAGAGAGGGCTTCAGAAGTTGGTTGAACATGAGAGCCAATGTCCCTATCAAAAGGTGCTCTGGTAGGAGGTGGTGTGAAAAAGAGGTCGTGTAAGTGGCCCACTAAGAATTTCAGAAGAGACACTCATTCTAACAGCTCCTGCACAGGCCAAAAACAGATGGCAGAAGAACATTCACAGCCTAGAAAGGAGCAGCAGCAGATGAGACCTCACCAACATTGTCAGAGGCGACTGTACAAGCCCTGGGGTATTAGAGTTAAGAGTGAGGAGAAAGGAGGGAGAAAACCCTGAGGTGAGAGATGGCTCCTGAATGAGACTGAAAATAGGGCTGTGACAGGAATTTTAAATTAAGTCAGAAAAACAGGTTTATTTGGGGCTTTCTAAATTGGTGATTGAGAAATTGAGAAAACTGCACTTTTTCTAGTTAATTTTTGTCAAGAATCTGCAAGAGAACCTTTTAACAAAATAATTACTTTCTCATATCTAGAGAAAAATAAGCAGGTATTTCTTCTTGACCAATGTTCAGGATTGCTGTAATGTAATTCAGCATATGGCATGTGTTTCAGACAGTCTGCATGCATTTGTGTTTAACCACATATTTACCTTTCTGGTGCTCATTACTCTTTCCTATAGTCATATGCTTCACCAGGGTTCCTTTTCCTTCAACATGAAGCCCTTTTGTTATTGTTTCTTGTCGGTCTGCTGACAATACATTTTCTCAGACATTTTTTGTTTTTATTTTATTTAGTTGGAACTCACTCTGTTGCCCAGACTGGAGTGCAGTGGCATGCTCACGGTCACCTCACTGCTGACCTGCTGGGCTCCAGCAATCTTTACGTCTCAGCCTTCCAAGTAGCTGGAACTACAGGCCCATGCTACTACGCCCGGCTACTTTTTCTGATTTAGTGTAGAGACGAGGTCTCACCATGTTGCCCAGGTTAGTCTCAAACCTGCGGGCTCAGGCAGTCCTTTTGCCTCGGCCCCCCAATTGCTGGAATTACAGGCTTGAGCCACTGCACCTGGCTTTGGTGTTTTTCTTAACCTTCCTTTTCAGTGGATTTTTTTTTTCCCACCGAGTATGGGATTTTAGGCTGACGCTTTTTGGTTTCAGCCCTTTGAAGATGTCATTCCAGTGTTTTAGATTCTGTTAAAATGTCAGCTGTCAGTTGTTGTTCATTCGAAGGTGATATCCCCCACCCCTGCCCCCGCCCCAGCTTCTTTTAAGCGTTTTCTCTTTGGCTGTCAGCTGTTTGTTTTTTTTTTTAATTTTTAATTTTGAAGACGTGGGGTGTACAATTCAGGGTTAGGTATACAAATGTTCATTATGCAGGTACTCTTGTTGACAAGGTGTGCTTCCACCTCCCCTGAGAGTTTTCCACTACCGCCAAACCTGTCCCCATCCCCCCGGCAGTTTCAAACTACTGCCAATCCCTTTCTTATAGTATTACGATAATAGTTCAAAGTCCACTTCTGAGTGAGAACCTGTGGTACTCAGTTCTTTGTTTCTGTGATAGATCACTCAGTATTATAGACTCTAAGTCCATCCAAGTTGCTGCAAAGTTCATAATTTTGTCCTTCTTTCTCGCTTTGTAATATTCCATTGTGTATGTGTACCGTATTCTTTTTTTTTTGAGTTGGAGTCTCACTCTGTCGCTCAGACTGGAGTGCTGTGGCCGCTCCCGGCCACCGCAGCCTCGACCTGCTGGGCTCCAGTGATCCTTCCGCCTCAGCCTTCCAAGTAGCTGGAACTACAGGTGCGTGCTACCACGCCTGGCTAATTTTTTTTGATTTATTGTAGAGATGAGGTCTCGCCTGCCCAGGCGGGTCTCGAACCCGTGGGCTCAGGCAACCCACTCACCTCAACCTCCCAAAGGCACAGGATTACAGGCTGAGCCACTGAGCCCAGCTAATGTACCACATTTTTAAAAATCCGGTCCTCTTGTAATAGGTAGCACCATTGGTTTCAAGTTTTTGCTACTGTAACTAAACATTGTAACTAACATTGTAACTAACAATAAACATGCATGTGCAGGTATCCTTTTCATAGAGTGATTGGAGTTCCTCTTGGTATATTACCAGTAGAGGGATTGAAGGGTCGTATGGAAGGTCGATTTTTAGATCTTTTAGGAATCGCCAAACTGTTTTCCACAGAAGTTGTACTAGTTTACATTCCCACCAATAGTGTAGAAGTGTTCCCTTTTCCCCA